GGCCATTATATACAGGCAAAATTAAATAAATGTAAAATAAGGTCAAATAAAATGAAAAGGTAAATATGTATAGATTGATAACCCCTTGCTTCCTCCTTCCAATCATGCAATGAAGTGTTTTAATTCCTTTTTTGTTTTTTTTACTACTCACCTGACCTTTACCAGAAAAGAGGTGTGATTGGATGAAGCCCCCCAGACTTTTCAGGCTTTAAACTACATTTTCTAAAGCCTGAAAATCAGACGTTCACTTTTGTCACTTTAATATTATTTATTGTGCAGCTAACATGCTACATATCGTATCTCTAACTCCCTGCATGGGTGTAAACAGCTCTGTAAAACATGTAAAAGCCTTGAGATAAACTTTCGCAAACTTCCCATTATTTCTTCTTTGGTGTTTTAGCCTCAGCTCAGAAGCAGACAATGACAGTCGAAAGGACAAAAGATACAGTTGAAACAATTCAGAGAATTAAGCAGCCAGCGGGAAGCTTCAGATATTACCCTCGGTGCTCTCGGCTACGCCAGCGCGCATTGCAGTTGAGATAAGATAACTTAAACAAAAAGGGGGGTTGGATTCTCTCACGGTGGTTTTGGGTTCAGTTCTCTACATACTGTCTGGTTTACTAGTGAAAAAGAAAAACATCAGTCGATCTAGTTAAGAGGCCGTTTTAAGAAAAGTGTGCCGATTTATTAGAGACATGCTGAAGCAGCAGTTTAGTCATTTATTTCTTGAGGAGTGCATGAGAGAAAGACAGAGAAGCAGAGAGCCAAAGTGGAGGGAGCGTGAACGACAGGGTGGAGGGGATGGTACTGTACAGCCAGTTCAACGTTTCCAAGAAGCAGGCACAGCCAACAACATGTCTCTTAGCCTGGCCTGAGTGCAGCTGATGCTACCAAGGGAGGAGGAGGGAAATGCATGCTGGTCATTTTCTACAAGTTCTGATTTTTTTCTACCCAGTGGATACACCCGGACTACAGATTTTATTCCCTGACCCACAAAAGCAATTTGTCGCTTGAAGAGAGCTCACTTTGCAAGAATACTCAAAGAAACAGAGAAAAATACACCCTCTAAAAATGCATGTAACAGGCTAACATTTATGGTTTCTAATGCCAGTATTGTAACTATAGCACTGAAATAAGTACAGGCAGACAGAAAGCAACAGAAAAGAAATACTTTGTTAAAATGGAGCCTCTGTGGCTCCTCTGATGCTAATATTACACTCAGCTGCAGTCTATGCTAATGCACCACTGTTTAAACAGAATAATATCCTCCCACTATTTGATTAAAACCAAAAAAAGGCAAACATAGAACATCAACAGTATAAACACATCTGCTTCCTAAAATAAACTTGTTAGCAGTAGAGCGCAGCTGAGCAGAGGTACGAGACAGTAAAACATGAATTAATCTACAAATCTCAGAAAAAGGACCTGACCCACAGCAGGTGAGGGGAGGCTAAGCAGAGTGGCACTGTTCACCCACGGCCGAGGAGAGCTGATAAGCATGCTGGCTTCAGTCGAGGGCTCGGTTGCACGTCTGACACAAATATGTGAAAGGGCTTTCTCTAAGAGGCAGACTTACAAAGACCAACTGAGAGACTCTGAAGCTGCTTTCAGCTGCGGCAGGTGGCCGTTACCGTTGCACTGCTATAACAGATCTTCAAAAAAATGACTGTGGAAGTGTCATAAAGTCTCAGGAGCTGAATCAGCAATTAATCTGAGTTTAGCTGTCAGCTACGTGTCCAATTCACCAATCAGTTCTGTGATTCCTGGCCTGAGGCAAAACTCAAGCCGTCACGGACACACCAGCAAGCCGATCAGGGCTCTTGATGGGCGTGAAGAGCCCCGCTCTGGAGTCTCGTGGGTTGGTAGGTGGTCTAGTGGAGATGTGGAATTTACAGTCAGAAGCAGCAGAGAGTGACATGGGAGAGGGGACGGGAGGGGAGGGAACATGCAGTTTGTACTAGTTTTACTGCTCCAAACTACAGGCTACAGGACAGGGGACAGGGTCAAAAAGAATGATTAGAAAATGGATTGGACTTTCACCTTTTCCTTTATCGCATCAACCTGGAAAGGAAATTCAGAGAGGCAACTTAGGGAGGAAAAAACAAATGGGAGTCTCCCAAAATAGAAAGTGACAGAGAGAAAGAGAGAGAGAGAGCAAACAGAGGACTTGTCACTTAAAGAAGAAATATAAAAATCCTACGAGTGATGCGGGTAATCAATGCCACTTTTGATACAAATGCACACTTGAGATCAAACCTGCTACCGTGAACTTGCGCCTCACTTTTTAGACTAGTATAAACAACATGGCTCCTCTATGTCGCTAAAAAAGACCCAGATATACACAATCCCTTCATTTAACGTGACACAATCACTTTGTTTCTTGAACAGCTTAAATAACAGACTGAAGTATTTTGAATTTATCATCAAAAACTGGAACATAAATGTGTAAATGCTTCACTCGGGTCTGCGCGCTGTTATGAAAGAATCAGGTGTTTCTCTTTCGTGTGGGCTTTGCTTGCCATGTAACAGAGATAAATGGCGTAATGAGTCACACAGCAGTTATGAATCTCCTCCGTAACACATTTGTATGGAAAAGCAGCTTGAATAGATGGAAACCCAAATGAAAAAAAGGAAAACACCAGTGATGACACATGGTGACTGACAGATGCAAAGGACGATGAACATGAATGAAGGAAAGAACTGGCAGTACTGGGAGGTGGGGGCTTTAACTGTGCAATACTGTTGAGAGTCCAACAGTATTTGCAAACACATTTTAGCTGCTGCTACTGTTTCTTGTAACAGATGGATGGAAATCCTGGGCACTGATCAGAAAAAAGATTTCTTAAGATTTTTCTTAGTCTTCCAAAGATGGCTGAAGGGACGATGGGACTAATTTAAGTCTTTAAATCTAACAGCAGAAGAAACATCTCTGCATGTCCTTATACAGTTGTGGTCAGAGGTTTGGACACACACAAACACTCACCATGGGCATGAATGTCATGGTTACTTTGGGCTTATAATCTTCTTTTTCTAGGGTGGAATGATTGTACAGCATACATCTTTAATGATTTTAAAAGACAAGGGTCTGGTGCACAAGTTTGAATTTATTTATGATCTTCTGCTATTTAGACAGAATCAAAAATGCACATAAATCTGATCCACAGTATCTTTTAACTTGATAAGACTTATTAACTTCTCATTAGTGATCAGAATTGACTACAACTGGTTGTTTCTCTTTACCAGCATGAAAAGGATTTGTTTGACAGCACTCACTGGAAGACCCAAGCTGTCACCCTCAGATGAGAGGAAATGGGTTAGGATGTTCAGGAACAACCCAGGAACCACCATGAGGCTTAAGCCTGTCATGAGCTGGAAACTGCTGGAACACCAGTAACACTTGTTACTGTGAAGCAAGTTTAACATCACCACGGACAGAGAGTGCTGACCAAAAAAAGAAGTCCCTGCTCCAAAATAAACACCTTCAAGCGGAGTAATTTACAGCCTACCACATGAACAAGACAAATGCTTTCATTGGAGAAGTAAAGGTGAGGGTTTTAAACATAAGTACCAGCTGTCAACCATGGTGGTGGCGGCATCATGCTCTGGGGCTGTTTTGATGCCAGTAGTACTGGTACATTGCACAACGTGTATGGAATAATGTAGGAGGATTATCTCCAAGTTCTTCAACTTCATCTTAAATCAGCTACACATTTGAAACTTGGACAGAATTACATGTTCTAACAGGAAATGATCCTAAAAACACATCAGAACTGTTTTTGACTTAAAATACGTTTCTAGAATAGCCTTTCCAAAGCCCCGACCTGAATCCTATTTATAATTTGTGGAATACACATAAAAGCCAACTAATTTAAATGAATTCTTCCAATTCTGTTAAGAAGAGTGGTCAAATATCCAGCCAGAATTATAATGAAAGCTTATTGATGGCTACCAAAAGCATCTGATCGATGCTTGCTAAGGGACATTTAACTAAATATAAGTGGGGATCTATGTATATATGGTACCCTGTATTTACCTTTGTGTCTGTGTGGATTAGAGAAAATATAAAATAAATTCAAACGTATGCAGCCAATTCTTGTTTTTAAAAATATTAAAGATGTATGCTGTACAATCATTTAACCCTGGAAAGCGAACACCTCAAAGAAATCACTTAACTGCAATGACATTCATACCCATGATGAGTGTATCTAAACTTTTGACCTTACAATTATAAATTGGGTTTCTAACATGAGATGCTTTTCTCTCTTTAGAGGCCTTATCATAAAGTCATTTACTTTGTCCTAATCCTCATTACCTCTGGCCAACCCACCTTAGTGAGATATTCCCTCATGACCTGGATGAAGTACGGCATGGAGAAGTCCATGATGTTGTGTCGCCAGGCAGTCTCCAGTACTACGTCGGGCCGCAGCAGGTCGTAGCAGGTGAATAGGCAGGCAGCAAAACACTCTTTCTTGTCTTCCTTCAAGAACCAAGCCAGGAGCTCTTCTGCCAGCTCAGTGTCTTTGGACTCTGATGCGTACTGCATGGCATCCTGCAGGAAAAAAAAGCCAGGTCAACAAACTGACACACCTAATCGTTTGTTTCCACGCTCAAATGTAAATTTTATATTTACATTGCTTTTAGGAATGTACTTTTCTTCTGCAACTCATTTGTTAATTTTGTACCCACGCACCTTGTAGAGCTTGTCCTTCTTGCAGAGCTCGACACTCTGTTTCCAGCGGTTGTTGCCTTTAAAAAGATAGGCTGCGATCCTCCTGAATTCAATCAGCTCGTGCTTCTCCAGGCTCTGGGCGAGCGAGATGTTGTCGAAGTTGTCGTAAGCGTCGATGGAAGTGCGCAGCGCCTGAGTAACACGAGAAACAATTGTGAGATTAGGCTGAGAAAGCAAGATGCGGAACAACTGCAACGTTTTAAATGTGTGCTTGCTGGAATTAACAATAACAAAGAGTTTCTCTTGTAATCAAACAGAGCACAGCACATGAAACCATACCGCATAGTCTTCTTCATTGATGAAGAGGTTGTTAAGTGCTTCATTCACCGACTTGTTGTTGTGATTCTGGACAGACCTTAGGTAAGGCTTAACCAGAGGCAGCTGTTTCACCTGAACAGACAGAAATGTTTATCAGTTTTCAGTCTGGCAAAAGTCTTGATCTTTTGATTTGAACCAAAGAAACAGTCAAAGAAAATCATACTGACCTTGCTGAAGAAGTTGACAGCACGTGTGTGATCCAGTCTTGGAGAGAGGACAATAAGGAGGTCATTCAGCAGCAGTGGTTTAAACTCGAGATAAAACTGGACGGCCTTGTAGTACAGCTCAACGTTAGCCACCTATGACAAACATAATGAAGTTAAACAAGTTTTTTGGAAAAAAAGGGCAGCTCTGTGCTGTATTCCTGTCAAGAGAAGTAATTGTTAGCACTACCACATGCTTTTAAATTATGTTTTGTACCTTAGTGACAATGTCTTTGAACTGGCTTTCCTTCCAGGCATCAGCTGGGTGATTCATCATAGTGATGATGGCATTGTCATATTCCTCATACTTGTCATAGAGGAACACAAGTTCTCCCCAGAGGTGGGCCTGCTCAGCTGCCCTGAGAACCTGACACACAAACAGACATCAAGTCAAATTTAACAATTTAACAATTGAAAACGAATGCGGGTTTATAGACGTTACTGAAGATGTCAAAGTTGTAGTTGCTGTTCCTCTGAGGAGTTTATTTACTTTATTTCTTTTTAAATCCTAATTCTTTAGATATAGTTTTGTTAAAATGTTTAAAACAATCACATCATACTGAACTGCAGTCGCAGTCGGTGTATTGTGATGCATTTCGTCAGATTCCTGCCAAAATCTGCTTGGCTGTAAAGCTCATACTAAATCCGTTTCTCACACCCACCTTTGGAATGTTAACACGGGACCAGAAGAGCTCCAGGTGTTCCCTCATCTTCTGGGGTTTGAATTTGGAGTAGAGGATAGCCAACTCAGTGAACATGCCCATGTGAGCACGCTCCAACCCAAGGGCAGCCTCTAGCATGGTGATCAGCTCCTCGAAGTAACCACGGTCCTGGAGGATACAGACAGACTTAGTGACACAACTATAACCCTTAATCTCGCTCCCCTACACAATCTGGGAAGTTATTTTGAGGCCCTTGAACCATCATAAACAAAACTCAAGTCTGTAGATACAGTGCGCTGAGGCGCAGGAAAACAATATACCATCTGTAAGCTGGAGAAAACTGGAAACCCTGCTATCCTCAGGCTTATATGACTGTTGACTGTTATTTATGCCAGATTAGTGATAGTATACATGCTCACCTACTTATCAGTCATTGAAAGACCATGGTGTTTGGCCAACAGGTACCCCACATACCTGGTAGTAGTTGATGAGCTCCTCCAGTTCATCAGCGTGGACAACAATATGCAGGCCACACATCTGGGCAAGACGGAACTCCTTCCCATCTACACAAGCAAAACACACCTGACAGAGCAGAGGCAAAAACAAAAAACAGCTGTTAAAATTAGTCAGTCGAGTGAGTTTGTGTTTTGAACATAAGGCTTGAACTTGATCTCACTCTTTATACTTTCAAAAATGAAACTGATCTCCTTCACCTCCTTCCAGGTACGGGTGCTGTTAGCCTTGCGGGCTCCGTCCACAGCTGCCTGGTATTCTCCCAGGTGAACCAGAGTTGAGGCCAGACGGCCAAAGTTTGACACATTATTGTAAAGCAGTTTGGCTGCCTCGTACATCTTGTCGTCATAGCATCGATCACCCACCTAATGGAAGATGAACAAATTAAGTTAGACCAGCGAAGCAGCTGTAATTGTAAACACGGGGTAAAGAATTAACTGGGAACTGCTGTATGTACAACTGCGTGTGTGTGCGTGTGTGTGTGTGTGTGTGTGTGTGTGTGTGTGTGTGTGTCAGGACCTACTTGCTGAATGTGAGCATTATTGGGTCCGTTGATGAATTCTTCCAGCTCGGCCAAGCGGTTGGTCTTGGCCAGGGCGAAGATCAACTCTGTCTCAACATATGACTCGCGGGCTTTCTTTCGAGCCATCTGCAGGAACTTCACCAGGTCCTCCCAGTTTCCTGCACACAAAAATTAACTACCATAAGCACCTATCTACTGCAACTAACATTACGCCATTTAAGTATCTTGATTAAATAAAACAATAAGGTAAGTGATAAAGATCTTAGATCTTAGTTTTAAAAACTGAAAGAGATCATCTTACCGCTTTGGGCTGCAGCTTGTCCCACCTCCATGTAGGCCGAGGGATCATCAGCCTTAATGTAAGAGTCGATGGCTTCTTTCACCAAGCCCTTCTGAAGCTGCGCCTTTGCCAGCTGACTCCAAACTGGGGGCTCATTGCAGCGCTCAGCGAATTCATAAGCTCTGTCCAGGTTGCCGATGTGTTCGATCAGGACCTGGACAGCAGCAAACATTCAGATCGCTGAATATCAAAATGACCGGCAAAACTCTGAGAGCTGTTAGCACGCTCTGAATTAAGACAAAAACAAGGTGTTTAAAAACTTTAAACAAGTCGTAGTTAATAACGAAAGCGCCCACCTGCACAGCAGAAGTGTTGACATCAAATTTTCTAAATATAGCAAAGGCCTCCTCAAACAGCTCATTGCTGATGGCAATGTTTGCGATGTCTGGGGCGTCGTAGTTGTCCAGACGGTTAATGTACTCCATGACGCGTGTCCGATCAGCTTTAATGGCAGTCAGAATGAGGAGATTCTGAAGGTTTCTGAAATCAACAAGATACAAGCTTTTCACTAAATGCATTATTGAATATATCGAATGCTTTGCAAGCTCAATGTTCGTCAACTGGAACAACAACTATGAGCAGGGGACTCAGTGATGTCTAAATCTTGGATATGAAGGGTTAAATAAAAGAAGAACAACATTAAATACAGGTAAGACTCTTACCTGTGTTCACTAAAGACAGAATTATCCAGCACAATCTTTTCCAGAAGCTCGATGAGCTCGTTAGGAAGGTCGGCGGTCATGAAGGCCTTGACTGTGACAGACACCTCCTCTGGATCCTGGGTCTCTGATAAGGCTGTCTGGACGACCTGCAGCAGAGACCGACGACAAACATGACGCATAACAGCTGATGATTGGTTTACAGTATGCAAGCTAACGAAGCGTTACAGCCTGGGAACTTTTAACAATACACTAGTTTAAGTGGCATGATTTAGTATCAGAGATAGTAAAAAGTCACACCTGGTCAATGAGTGGTCTTCTGTAATGGTTGGTCTCCAACAGCACACTTGCCCACAGCTCTGGGTTCTTGCGGCGTACAAGGTAGCGGGACAGACTCTTGAACAGTGAGTTCTCATTGCACACCTGAAGCAGAACGAAAATATTTGAAATAAAAGGCCAATAAAAACCTCGTATTACTAATGACCCGGAATTTCGCCTTCCAGTTAAAATGATTTGTTTTTAAACTCACGTGAATGAGTTCCTGGTCACACTGTCCTCTTTCATAAGCCACGCAAGCCAGGTGGGGGTCTCTCTTTTCACAGTACTTGCCCACCACGCGGCTATCATAGTAGGGGTTCTCCCTCAAGAAACGCTCGGGGTTGTTGTTGCTGTCGATGTAGATCTTGGCCAAGGCGTTGTGGGTTGCAGGCTCCTCACAGCCTTCATGAATACGAGCCTCCAACCAAGGCAGCAACAACTTCAAGCTGGAGAAGGAGGCACAGTAAACGTGTCACAAGCTTTGACAGAATATCATGAAGGGAAAGGACCAGTTTAACACACAGGTCGAGTTAGATCGCCGAGCGAGCGATTCCTCTTTTGCGGTGCACAGTTCTTTTGGTTCTCACCGATTTCTTTTCTCCACTTCAGCGACCAGTTCATCTGTGGAGAACTGTCCTCTCACCACCATGATCAGGTTCTTAATTACATCTTCGGCACAGTCCACATCCAATAATCCACCAATGACTACTGGCAGACGGCTCGGGTTCACCTGGAATAAATGACAACAGAATTATGACACGTTTCCATCAAGGTAAAAACAAATGCACAACCACAGAGGTAGACCAATACCGAGAGAGAATAAATGAGTAAAAGGATGGAGCTTTATTAATGTACCTTCTGCACATAGATCTCAATGTATTTCTGTAGGCTGTTGCGGTACAGGTACAGGACCAGATCGTGGACGAAATCAAAGCGGTCACACACGATGATCAATGGCAGCTGGTCGGTAAGCTTGGCTTCCTGGAAAAAACACAATAAAATGTTGACAGACAGAAAAATCACAGGTTTATTTTGCAGATAACCGTTTTCTGCACGGACCTTGAGGAAGTTCTTCACACGTTCGGGGTCGTAGCAATTGCTTTCTCTGCAGATTCTCTCCACCTCTTTGATTTGGCCTGTTTTGCACGCAGCCTGAATGTATTTGAAGTGAACTTCAGGATCCTGGCTGAAGTTCACAATTGAGCCCAAGAAATAGAACAAACCTTCAAAGCAAAAAAACTCAGAATTAGCAAAAGTAGTAAAACAAAAGATACGTTGGGTTTATTTTTTTGCACCTTCCCCACTAACCCTCAAAGCTCTTGAATGACTCAAACAGTTCAGTGAGGGATTGAGTAGTGAGCTGCTCGTGGTACTTGGAGGCGACCTGCACGCAGATCTGCAGGTTCTGCCGGATGTTGGCAGATAACATGGCCCTCAGACACTCCAAGGAATCCTCCACAGACAGGGAGCCAAAGAAATTCACCAACCACTGAAGAGATAAATAGAAAATCATCAGCGACACAAAGACAATCACCGCAAACCACAACAGCAATTTTATATTCTCGATCTGTGTCGTACCTCTGGGTTGAGAAGGTGTGTATGCACCACTGCTCGTTTAATATCATACAAGTCAGTGTAATGCTCCAGCGCTCTCTGCAGGAGGCCTGCTTTCTCACACAGTTGGGCCACGTGAGCGCGATCATAGTGGGTGAACATCTGGTTACCCAGAATGGCATCTGCAACCTGCAACAAATGGCACATAGACACACAAATCCAAACATGTCTGTAAACAGCAAAAGATTTGATCTGTTGTGAAAGAAGTTGGGGAAAGAAAGCTAGAGCGCCGTTTTAGTTTAGGTGAGACCTACTGGTCACTGGTAAATGAAATAATCTGGCCTGTTTGGACCTGATGTATCTACATGTTTATGTACCTGTGGTGCATGGACCAAATTCATTTCCAGCAGGCGCGTCTGCAGTGGTCCCTCCATGGGTCTGTTGTTCTTCAGGGCATCTAGTAGGAAGGACGTGCACTGCTGGATCAGGTTGTACTCCATGAATACGTCAACAATCTGGAAAATTAAATAACAGAGAAACCACAGAAGTTAAACTCTCAAAATCTTGGTTGTGTTGCTACACATCGCAGAGGTGTGGGGTATTTTTGCAATCATGTGCTCAGCTACAACTGTGAGAATAACTACGATTCAGATCATAGTCATAGTATCTTTTAGCCACGTTACCACCCAAAAATCTTTATTTTTACCTGTGTAATGTCAGCAAGTGGCTCTTCATCCTGAACCAGCATCTGAGAGAACTGAAGACCTTGCTCTGGACTGATCCGCATTACGTTCCTTAGCAAAAAGATCCAGTCTGGAGTGTAGCCCACCTACAAGGATGACAGACATGTAAGGATGTATGAGATGCTCCCCATCTGTGATGTAGGTGTATTAAAAAACAAAACAAAACACTGTGAACCATATTACAGCCCAAGATATTTTATTTACCAAGTCAGTCATCACAAACCTTCTTGGCATAGAGAACAATCTTCTGGAATTGGCCAGTCTCTGCAAAGCACTGAATGACCTTATTGGGAACATTGGCTCTGAGGTAGACGCTGAGGGCGAGAGTTGGATCTACAGACTTCACCAAGTCTCCGAGCTCCTCAGAACATTCCAGCTGTAAACACAAACAAAAGGGTTAGAAACTATAACAGTGATCTGCCATGGTACAGTGGAAAAAACAAAAACAAAAAAAGGGAATCTGGGTTTCACTGGCCTACATGATCTTCTGCTTTATACTAAATGATTTATCTGATTCAGTGAGTCAGAGTAGCACTCTGATTTTACATGGTCTCAGTTTTTTTTTTTTACTCTATGATATGATAGATGAACTTGAGATATAAATATTTAAACTTAAGATAAAGACTGTCCACTTTAAAACCAACCACTAAACACATACCTTATCCTCTTTTAGCCATTTCTCCAGTAGCTGCTTTCGGCCCTGCTGAAGGACAGGCCTGCAGAGCTCCAGAGACTCAAACTTATTAAGTTGGCCTTGATCCAGCAAGATGCCAAAGTACTGAAGCAAGGGAGACGTCTGGCCTGGTTGGGCGGGAACACTTTGGAACCTACGGATGGTGTCTGGTGTTCGCAGAATACCCTGGAGAGGTAGGATGGAAACTTCTTAGCCCATTGAAAATACAAAAAGGTAAAATACGGGAAAAAGGAATAAAAGCAGCGCGCGGGCTGTACTCCCTTTTAAACAATTTTGGAAGCAATATCTAAACGTGTTTTTACAAATTGTCTTTGGTTTTCATAGTTATATAAGCTACTGAAATCTTAGACTCACAGTCTCAGTGCACAGAAGCACAATGGCAGTACCTTGGGTGCATTCGCTGCCACCTTTGCAGCCTCTGAGTAATTTCCTGCTGCAAAAAGGGTGTTGAACTTGCGAGCAAACAGCTCCTCAGCACCAGCGAGGTTGTTGCGGACAGCCATTCGGAGTGCAAGGTCTGGGTTCTGGAGCACATTGGTGATGTATGGAATGATGTTTTCCTCCTCCACGCATACAGACAACACCTGGAAAATCAGATGTGCACATAAACGCATGTGTAATTGGTAACACCTAACTTCCTTTACAGTTAGTTAGAAGCTGTTCATACTTTTTAAACAGCTGTTGTCTTTGCTAGCTATTTAACACTGATATTTGTGCTGTGGCGTATGCTAGCTGTACTGGTGGTAATTGCCCGCCTGACAGAATTAGAACTGAACCGCGACAAAACACATTCACTGTGACTTTTAAAGGCGTTTAAATGTTACTGACTGTCACCAATGACAGGGGACCTATATCCACTGCACTGTTCTTGCTGTTCTAATCACATGATGCAAAAATGTATACAAAGACAACAATTATTCATTCACAATCAATTCTCTCTCATTTAGGGAAAACACCACGGCACTCAATAGTTTGTAAAGTCTTAACTATCTCTAAAACTAATAATGACACACTTACAAAATTAAGCTGGCACATAACATGATGGGAAATCCTACAGCTGGAGGCTGAGAAAAGTAAAGACACATGGAGGTGACGCGAACAGCGATGCTCCAAAAAAACCTTCAGACCAAGAAAGGAGCTGTGTTTGGTGTTTGGATGCTTTTCGGTTTTACAAAATGAGACTCCTTTTGCTTAATATCCCTTCACACTCCTTTATCACAAGGGGGTCATCTGATATTAAGGGTCCCCTCTAGTTTTTATTGTAAGCATCATTACCTTACAATAGTGTTCCCCAACCCCCTGGCCATGGACCGGTACCGGTCCATGAGTTGTTAGGTTGAGGCTCGGGTGTGAAATTTATGGTTATCATTGACTTGGTTTCCCTGGGGCTTTTCCCGTGTTGTAGTTGTGTCTTATTTTGAAAGAAATATTTACTCGTTACCATAGCGACCAGAGAGCATTAAAAGGCAGAGAGGAGGACGTTACTCTCAATGTTGTTGGTGCATTTCAGGAGTACGCTGCTAATAAAGTTACACAATTACACAGTAAATTCACATTTATTATTATATTTACAAGATACCACAGTTGTTGTCTTGGTCGTATCATTTTATTTTGTTGTTTATCCGCAACACCTTAAAGGCCGGTCCGTGAAAATATTGTCTGACATTAAACCGGTCCGTGGCGCAAAAAAGATTGGGGACCGCTGAATTATAACAACAATCACCTTTAGGTGATTGTTGTTGTGATTTGCGTTATATAAATAAAACTGAGTTGAAATTAATCTTCTTCAACTTTCAGTGCAGCAGGGCTCAGGGAGCTAGGTGAGGCTGAGATGACGTATTACTCTGGCCTAACAGGTGTTATTCCTGGTGACAGATTAACTGTAACATGCCACATGTTGACTTTGTTTTTAAAACACCGGGAACCATTATATTTAAGCTAAAAGCATAACAGGCAGTGTTATTTATGTTTCGTTTTCCTTTCATTAGGATCACATTAAACTGTCTTTATATTCTGTACACTCCTAAAAGACTAATGAACCTATATAAAAGATTCACATCATACATTCAAAAGAATCTAAATAATAAATACTATGATGCTCCAAAACTGGCAGAATATTTTTTTTAAAAAGTTCTTGGTTCATGTCAAACTGTATCCAGCTACAACACCTTCCAACAAAAGTCCACCAAAATGTAAATGCAGTTTGGTGTACAGTGATATAAAGACACAAAAAGAGACAGGCACATATTCGACACAAAACTGAGAATAACTGCTGGCAAACCTGGGTTTGAAATGAAGTTCACTGTAAAAATCTGAGTTAAAAGAACTGCATTATGAGACCTGCACTTGTCACGTTTCTGAATTACATGCAGGGATTACCACAAGCTGTCATGTACAGTGTTACACACACAGTTGCACATGAAATGTGTGTGCGTGAGTGTAGCACACTGGCCTGTGTACAGCAGACCCGCAGGTGAAAGCCAAGAGCAATAACAGGATTAGACTGCGTAGTCTGCCTGGCCAAGCTGAGGCCACCTGCTGTTAGTGTCACATGCTGCCTGACACTGAAGATGCTGCCACTGCCTGATATTTTCAGAGATTTCCTCAGTCAAGGTCACACCCAAGGCTCCACGCTGACATACCAGGGCCAACACACCACAGGGAAAGTAGTCCACTACACATGTGTGCAGACTGGTTTAAAAATATACATCAGGTTTGGAAAATATCTTTAAGCAATTTTCAAAAACAATATGTAGTCACAAATATTAAAATAAAATTGGAATCTGATAAGAAATATATTAATTTTATCTGTCACATATTTAAAACATCTACCAAAAACATTATTCAACTCATTTTGCATCCAAAATTAAACACAGTTTAACCTGTTCACTTGCACAAAGGCCCAGATGAAATATCTATACTAAGCTTGGCTCTGTGCTCCACTGGAAATTAATAAGCGGCTCATTCATCATTGCATTCTAGACTTGCTACTGCAAAATATACTCCACAAGTGTACATTTGAGTACCTGTCCTTTCCTGTTGACTCCAATGATTCCAGCAGTAGGTTCATGGGGGGCAGTGACAAAAATGGTCTCTCCGCTGATCCTGTTCATGTAGATACAGGTTCCAGTTTCCAAGTCATATAGGTGGATGTAGCCATATTTGGTGATGAGAAAGACTACATCTTGCTTGGAACTGATCTAGATGTACAGAAAGGGGAAGGGAGATATAACATGTATAGATAGGAGGACTCTTTAGCAGGATACCAAACTAAATACTAAATAAACAAAGCCTCAGATTAAAGAAGAGGGAGGTTTTGTACCTGCATGGCCACAGGGAAGTCATTCTGGGCTTCTGGAGGAAAGAAAACATCCACAGCTTTCTTTGGAAACGGCTGGTTCCCAGTTGGTGGAGTCCCCACTTCAATAATATGGAGCTAGGGGAGAAAAAAGTAATTAAAACAAAAAGAAGACAAAGCAAGACCCCAAATGCCTTTTTCTAATCAGTATTAATTTCCACTAAAATTACTTCATCCCGATCTTTTTATTTTGCAGCTACGAGGCTTTGAGCTTCTCCTAATAAGTATAAATCTTACGTACTTTTCCTCCTGCCTGTCCCCGCACGGCAAAGCAGAACAGAGTCGATTCCTCGGTGTTGCCTTCCATCTTGAACTGTGCAAATCCAGCAGCATGTCCTTCAATAGGCTGAGAAACCTTTCTGTCCACCGAGTACAACTGCATGGCTCCAACGACACGGTTTTGCTGAGGAGGAGAGAACGCCCACAAATCAGACTAAAGTCTGTGATGGGGTTTTTTCTGCTATATCATAAACTTACCTTGCAATGACTAATACAAATGTGATGCATTTCACACACACTGACATCATTTTTATATTTTGTCTGAAATATTATTTTGATTGTAATATTACGAAGCTAAAGCAAACTGTGTTAATTCACCTGTGCAGAAATGCCAATGAGCAGCAACCACTTCTGTTTGGCATCAGTGCGGTAGTTGATGATCTGGCAGCCTGCCAGGCTGGAGTGACGGTCAAATACTTTGATTGGCTGAGAGTCACCCTCCATGCTCCAATGGTAGACCGCGTTGTCTGTGACCAGGGCGACAGTGTTGAGGGAGATCCACTTCCAGAAGGTCACGTCATCCGTCATCGTGTGAGCCTTCATCTTGCTCTTCATCTCAATGTTAAAGATCTGCAGGGTCTTTGCAGCTGAAAATATTTAGAGCTGAGGTTAACACGTTAGCCGTGCTGGGACGCTGCTAGCCCACCCCCTCCAAAATTTTTAGATTGTAACATTTAAAACGAGGAAGAAAGAAAGAAAACTTGAATCGGTCTACTGACTAAAGCTACGGCACACAACCCACAGCAGAGTTTGGGAGGAAATCAATTGGGCATACCTCTTCCAATTGCGGGGGAAATGCAGGTAATCGGGGAGGGTTTTGGTTTTTTTTTGGTTTTTGTGTGTGTAACACCGACAGACCATACAAAAAGCCAGTACCAGTATCAACAAAAAAGGGGCAAGACCAACAAAAGGGCAACCACTTAAAATGTTGGATCTGCATTCAGTAACATCTGATGCAATAAACTGTTACGTGTTCAGCTGCGTCTAACTATACAACCCTCTTGTGATAATATAAAATCATTCACCAATTAATTACTCTTCTTTTTATTAGAGAAACTCAGACTGTGCTTAGCACTGCATCAAAGAAATACAGCTCCCACATTCATTTCAGTGAGGTCGGCACAGCAAGAGGTAGCCAAGATTGCAAAGAAACTAAATGAGGTGTGCCACACTGTTGGCTAAATATCCATAGAAACAAACAGATTCATTTGCAGTGGCAATGGAGGATTGGAATAACCCAATCCCTTATCATAAAAAGCTTTAAACTCACAGATCTATCAGTCAGATTGGTCTTCTTCCAATTAGACTAGAACCAGTGTATAGGCCTGTATGTTGCTTAATATCTGTTGGCAAGAAAACTGATACCCAAATTTTTCTTCTATTCCCTTGAAACTGGTACTGACCCCCAAATTTCATTATCAGTTACTCTTATTAGCATTCTGATGCAGTTGCAGGTGGTTGCATTTTTTAATGCAGTACTGGAGCTTGATTGGAAATAGCACCAATTAGTGCTGGGCGATATGACGATATATATCGTGTGGATGATAGAAAAGTGTCTATCATGCCATTTGTCTTCTATCCTTTCTAACCTAATTTTATAAATTATTACATAAAATATATCATTAACCCTTTAAAACCGGAGCAGGCACACTCCTTTTGCCTAACTATTTTTAAATCCCTGTAGAACTGGAAACACGTAAGCTAGCGCAAAAATTGTTCTTGCATATGAAACCGGAGTTGTACTTACATCTTATGCCATTAGCTTGTCCTAGGTCACGGTTTCCTTCCACATATAGCTTTGCAAAAATTGCATAAAAAGCATTTGCAGCAACAAAAACATAATATTCCAGAAACAGGCTTTGCCGATCCGATCAGTTGTTCATAACACTTCCTACATTGGAATACGTCGCGTGTCAGCACCTGCCCGAAACCGGACGTGACATCATTTCGCGGAAATGTAGTTCTTTACCTTCAGGGCCTTATAAGCCTTTGCTGGTGTTTTTAAAAGTCACGTTTGACTTTATGCTTTTCTGTATTGTTTCTGGGATGCTTAGATCGCAAATTACACTGTTGTAAATAGTTTATTTTGATGCACATGCTGTTTTTTTTTTTGCAAATTTGCATTATAATATTTATTTTTCATTTTTCCTGAAGTACATAAAAATTTGTGTATCTCAAAAATAAAACTATGAAGACACTCAAAATAAATTTCTCGTGGTTGGAAACTATTTTGTGCAGCTTTTTTGTATTTACAGTTTTAAAGGGATAAGCCTCTTAAATTTCTCTAACTAGAAATATATGTAAAAAAAACCACAAACGATTTTCAATTTTTTTTGTAGTTTATTGCGCATTTTTGCAATTTATGTAGTTACTATGGACTTAATGCATACATATTATTACAATTTGAGCTATAACGGTTGTATTGATGTATAGCAACTTGAAATTCTCCCACAAATGGCACTACAGCATTTAAAAATATAAAAATAAGCTCTGGCGGACTTGGTTCTATGGTAGGTCTTAAAGGGTTAAATAGCCTGTGGCAAATAAATTTGTGTCGTCTTCTCACTATACATGCTCTTAACTTTATGCAAGAGAAAATAAAGTATAAAAATTGATATTTTTCACAAAGAAACTCGTGGTTTTGCGACATGGTGCTGCTTTGCGTGCACCCGGATTTGCAACATGCTTTACAGTAACTCAAAACGATGGACGTGCGACAGGTTGCAGTTTCATGCCTGGACATGCAACAGGCAGAGACAGCTACACAGGCAGCCCAAGAAGAAGCACTTTTACCGAAAAGAGGGGGTACGTCTGTGATTTGGTTACATTTTGGGTTCAACAGCACCAACATGGAGCAGAAGATGCCCATTTGCAAGCTATGCTATAAAACTATTCCTGCACTCAGTGGCAACACAACAAATCTCTTCTATCACCTACAGAAGGTCCACGAAAAATAATACTCAAGAATGCAGAAAATCCGAGCTACACCAAGTTGTGGAACGACGGGAGCAATTTGGGAAAATTGCTGTATCTTCAGCTATACTACCTGAAGATACAGCAGTCTTTCGCACAAGGCACGCCGTATGAAAAAACTTCCCAGCGCCATAAACAAATCACAGGAGCCATCTCACGTTACATTTATAAAGGCATCGCCTCTGTTTATGTAGTTGAGAAGGACAGCTTTCGTGACCTCGTCAAAGTTCTTGATCTGAGTTACGTTATGCCCGGTCGTAAGCACTTCAGTAAAGTCGAGTTGCCTTGCTTATATGATGCATGCCGGGCCAAAGTAGAGAAGGATGTTTGCAGTGTCGTGCATTATGCCTTGACAACTGACATATGGACGAGCAAAGATACGCACCCCAACATGAGTGTAACCATCCATTTCATTAACAAAGACTGGACCCTTTGCGCTCGCTGTTTACAGACTGCGTACTTTATAGATGACCACAGGTCAGGTGGTATATCGTGATATTTATCGTTATCGTGATATAAAATAATTCATATCGTGATAAATATTTTTTCCATATCGCCCAGCACTAGCACAAATACTATGGTGTCTTTGCTTCTCAGATGGCTCAACAGTGACCTTTCATGCAGTTTTGGTTCAGTATTTCAATTCTTCATCAATATTTCAATCCAAACCAGATCAGTTAGGAACTACTGCCTACCTACTAGTATGACATGGTCCACAGTGTATGCTCGAAATGACCTGTGTTGAGCTTTCCACCCACACAACCTACTAAAGAAATCAAACTCCTGTCATGTTGTCATAGGTCTTAGGGGATTCAAGCTGAAATTTAATCCCAAAATAAGGGATGCGGTTTGGGTCTGAATGCAGATTAGTAAGACCACAAAGCACAAAAACAGATGAGATGATGAGAAGGATGCTGGACAGATGCACTCACAGCCATTCTGTTAATTTCCTCCAGTTCAGTCGCACTGGAGGAAAGACACTTCAATTCTTATAGGTATAAGCTCTAGTTTCAATCTGGCCCAAACCAAATAAACCACATGTTTCACTGGTAACAAAGTGCATGACTGACAGTATAGTGGCATTTCTGAACAGTTTTTCGTAATACTGTGGGTATAGTGCACAATAAAATAAACTGCCTGCATAACTACAATGCAAGATATAAAGTGCAAAATTATTAGTCTAGAATATATAAAATATAAATGTGTGCCCAAACCCTAAATAATTAACACATGTATATGACTAATCCTCTGGTATAATAAAAATTACAATTAGTCGCTATTTAAAACAGAGTAACACCACACACTGAAAGTGTGAAAACGTGAACAGTTATTGAAAACCTGTCATGAATGTCAGTATCTGCAAGGTGACAATGAGGTAATGAGCATTTGATGTTAATATCTGCGTTATCCCAGAGGCAAGCCAGTCAAAATTGCACCTGCACACTGAGCAGCACATTTTTGTGATATGAGGCTGGCATCACAGCCCAGTTGTTTTAAGCATTCTCTGTTTTTCCTACACTCACCAAAAAAACAAAAGAAAACCCTTAAGCCTGAAGCCTGACCTTAAAATGGGAAAGTCTCATTAACCATTCTGTTATCCTTTTGTGATTGCCACGGTATCCTTTTTGACAGTTTCACATTTTTAATACGACCATATCATTTTGTTTTCTGCATGTTTTTTCCCCTTTTACTACACACACGTTCCACTTTATTACGAACTATTTTCCAAGGCATCTCAATTTTTCCAGATAATCACCTGACTTTCCGTATATTACGGTGACTGTCAGTCACAGAAAATCTTCATTTAGTTTAGACAACTTTCTGACTCAGATGTTCAGCAGCTATGTGGATGCCTTCAGGTTGTGAATGACAGTTTAAAAATAACTCAGGAACTGTATTACTGAAGGCTTTTATTGTTGCTGTGTAATGAAGACGTAGACAGATTTACATGTGTTTTCACCACAATGTCAGTGCATTAATTCGACTATATGACCAACACAGGCACACACTCTGGTTATCAAATAATAACAAAATATGGGGAGGATAACGTCTAATTTATTACTTTTCCAATGCAAATATATAACCCATAGGTTTTTATATTTTTTTAATTTGTCATCAACTCCAGTACAGTACGAAAATAAGGTACAGTGTTTAGAAATGGTCAACTGTGATATAAAATATATTTCCGGTGTAGCTAATGGAAAAAACACGTGAACACAGAAAACAAAAGGAAAAAAAAAAAAAAAAAAAAGATATGGTCCTTTAAGCTACTGTCTTAATTTTGTTGTGCTCGCCTACTGTTATTACTGTAAATCCAGACATTCGTTTAAATTACTTTCATTACTGTGCAAACATTTCAAGACAGTGCATACAGGATCACTCTGACAACTCATGATACATAAAATTCAACTCACCGTCTGCAAACATAAGAAAGCAGTAAGAAATGAAAAAGAGCAAAAACAAGCAAAATAGACAAAGGATTCATGACAGCATGACAATTTGCTAGTGCTACTGCTTCGTGAACTAAAACAGCAAATTCTAAATGTAGCACAATTACATTTCTACGTACACACACACTATTTAGCTACTAGTCGTTTTCAACAAACAGAAATGGGGTGATCTACATATGAACATCAAAATGAAAAGCAGACTGTGATGGCTACATAACTGACAACACAGTTTGGTTTTTTTTGTTGTTTTTTTTTTTTTTACACAAATGGACCAGTGTACTTTTTACAAAAACAAAACAAATATCAAGATAGCAAGGTACAAACCAATTTTAGCTGCTTAATTTTTAAGTCCATGTGCTTTGAAATCCTAGCACACTTACTACGTGATAAAAGCGCAACAGTGGATTTAAGATGGGGGCTTACCTTTAAGGGCAATAACTTTGCTAGCAGGGTTCATGATGGCGCTGTCGGCAGAGATGGGGCGACGGATGGGGTTGTTGGGATCAGCCAAATCAATGATGACAACCTGAGCCTGTTCACCAACCTTCTCTCGTACACAGATGAACTTGTCAGACTCCATTGTAAGCGTGCTAAATCCAATGTTGGCTGGGTTGATCCCCAAGTTCTGGAGCTGGCATATGAAGAGAAGACCTGTTTTAATGGCAGCCATTGGCACACAGTACAATATCGAAGACAAAATTTCCTTTGGCAGGATTTTTCCTTAACCAAAAAGATTCTGAACTTTCATCAAAGCAATATCACCAATATGTGATACTCAATCATAAAATGTATTTTTCCAACGTCCAGAAATAACAAAATTGTACCGACCTCTGTTAAAGAAGCTAACACATATTACTATGATTATATAGTAGCTAACAGGGCTTCCTAACACAAAGGCCCACTCTAAGGCCCAGTTTGTTTACTTATATCAGCAAATATGATCATATCTACTAACAGCGGTCATCTATGTTTATGCTGGATACATTTCAAAGACACTTTGATAAAATACTCAACATTTATGACAAAGCGGTTGATAATATTCTAGAGTTTGATATTATGTATGCAGATGATCTTGTGATCATAGTGCTAGTAGTGCTGATCTCCAGCAGCTCATACACATATGTTCTACCAATGCTGTAGAAAATAACATTACATGCAATCCCCGTAAGTGACCTGTAATGATTTGCAGAACTGAGGAGGACAAAGATTTCCAGAGTTGAAACTTGATAACAATCTTACTGTCGGTAGTAAGGTCAAATATCTGGCTCATCTTATTACAGATCAAATGACAGGTAATGATAATATCTGTAGGAAATGTTGACTGATGTATTCACAAGTTAATTTCCTCTTATGCAAATGTCTGTACAAAGGAAAGTGAGTTCACGAAAACCTAATGTAGCTTTAAAAAGATGCTATGATGTTATTATTGAAGAGACAGACAACTCAAGCAAGGTGTTTATAATTACTCGTTTCAGTAGATTGAAAGCTTTATTAAAAATATTGTGAATTAATTTATCTGCAGGCTCAATGCTTCTGAGAATGTGGGCTTAACACACTGATAACATGGAACCGTACGTTATCTGTCTTTATTGTTCAGACACTGGTATAGTTATGGGAAGTTGAATTTAGTGGGTTTGTTTTTAATCTCTTTGTGTTTTTTGATATGCTTTGTTTATATGAAATACGTATCTGAGATCAAGACTGAAGAAAATTTAAAAAATAAATAAATTTAAAAAAAACAAACAAAAAAAACAAACAAATTATGCAACCCAGTATCACAGCAAAACGTGTAACAGACATGTTGGTCTACCGTGTTCATTTCACGCATTGCCCGTCCAAAACGTGAAATGGACACGCATGCAGAAATTGCATTACCAGCAGGGGGAGATAATAATATTGTAGTAATGCAACAAGGGCAGTGACCACAGGGCAAATTGTTTGTTTATATATATTTTTTGGCCCAGAAATTCATAGCTGGTGCATCTCCAGTACATTCTTCACTGTAAAAAGCCAATGATGTCAAGTATGCTTATTTCAATTGTGCCTTTAGTTAACAAAAAAACAAACAAAACTGAAGCTTGGCAAAAGGTCATCCAAGGGTCACAGTATAAACAAAATCTCCACAGGGGTTCAAGCTTTGATTTATGGTTGGGAACCTTGGGTATATCCAATACAGCCAGAAGCTGGGATGTACCAGATGAATGACTGATATGAATGTGGACAGCAGAACAAAATCGTATTCTTTTAGCAGACTGAATGGACCACCTGGTTCACTTCAGATAACGCGATGAATGGGTTACATTTCAGTCAGAAAAACCCTAAAGAATAACCCGACTCTCCCTTCAGCAGTAAAAATGGCCTGTCGTGACATAACGTTTCTCTATGACGTGAAGCAGCTCTGAGTCTAGTCAGACTGCAACTGACCACGGTTTCACGGCTCATAACTTAAATGGGCACATGACAATAACATAAAGCATGCTTTAAACAGCTATACTATGCGTTCATGTTATGCAGGTCAGCGACTGGAATGTTTCGCCTCACAAGGTCCAAACGTTAATTCGATATTGAAATAACGCTGAACAGACCAAAACGTGGCCGTGCATCAGTCATACGCTACAACCCAATAAATAGTCACTCAAGGTCAGAAAAGGTGATTGTCGTTAACTAGTTTCGCCTCCTGGCCGCGAGTGACAGCATCAGTACAATGAATGAGGAGCTAGCATGAGAGGCTAGTTATTAGCTGCTGGCTAAACGGGGGATGGGAGGTCATTCATTTGCTGCGGTTATTGACGTTTAACGCTAGCTGAACTAGAAAGCTGTCAAAACGACCGTTAAGCCGGAAAATGAAGGGATCAAAGAGAATGTAAGGAAACGATATAGCTACTAGATTCGACCACTTTACCTGCAGGTGCTCCTGGAAGCGGATAGGCAGGATTTGAGCCATGGTTGTTTCCTTGAGCTTCTCCGGAGTCCTGAAATTGTGGTCGTACAGCTAGCTAGGCAGCAGCAGCACCGCGCTAGCTACGACCTCCTCACTGAATGTGTAGGTCGGAGCCAGTCGGTGAAAACGATAGCACTGTTTTAAAATAGGCAAGATGCTGTGGGTAATCGTGTTTCCGAAGTGAGATATCAGTGGAAAAATGTTAAATACGCCCCCCCTTCTGTGTATGCTTTCTGCACTGCATCGATGGATAGCAGTGGCTATGGCTGATCTTCTGTCCAAAATCCGCAATGGCGGCGGAAACGGCTCACAGCCTTCCCAGTCCGGAAGCATCTAGGGATCTCTGGAAGGGCACTGGCTCTGGCCCTGAACGTATGGACAAGAAGTTCACCCCAATTTAACTAAGAAATAATATGAAAAAATGTTTCTACTCGATAAAGTTGCATACATTGTAATTTTGTATAAAAATCAACTAGTTTTTTGGACATGTACGTCAGTTCCGTAAATAATAATGCTATTTTATCAAATCTGACAGCATATACGTAAAAATTTAACCCTTCAGACGTTATTAGCATAAAAAAAAAAATACACAATTTTAAAAAAATACACAACCCTTTTGTGGAAAATATTTCAGATGCTGATTTTTGTTTTGATTTTTGTCTATGTTCAGATTTTGATTGGGAGTAAGCAGAATTACAAATCAGTATATCAGAGACACAGCTCAGGTTGAGCGCTTTGGAGACAGAAATCAGAGATGCAAGGCTGACATGGTTTGGACATGTGGAGAAGTGGGATAGTGGATATACTGGAGAAAGGATATTGAATATCGAGCTTCCAGGCAGGAGGAAAAGAGGAAGACCACAGAGAAGGTTTGTGGATGTAGTGATGGAGGACATACTGACTAATGGGGTAACATAAGAGGATGCTAGATATAGGGCGAGATGGAGGATGATGATCTGTCATGAGGAACCCTAAAAGGGAGCAGCCAAAAGAAGACTGACAATTTCCCAAGTTCTAAGTAAACATTTTTATGCATAAATAGTTTAGGATTTTAAATATAGCAAAATGTGTGCAGCACAGCCCACACTCCATAAAATTCAAATACAATAGAAAAGATGAGTCCAGACAAAGTGATGCGTTTCAAGAAGCAACTGTATTCGACTATAAAGGCATTTCTAATCCAGTGTCTCTAAGCTGTTTTCTTTATATTTCAGTGTAAAAAGCCTAGACTCTAGAAAAAAGAAAGTAACAAAAAACAACAAAACAACATTTCATTAGAAAACAAATCATTGAAAAAAAAGATAATGAAATTCCCATTCACCAGTCATTTCAATTAAAATAGAAACACCTTTTTGCTAACATTTCCCTCAAAACAAATATATATTTTCCATATATATATATTTATATATTTATTCTCAAGGCAGTTGGTCATGGCCAAATTAATTGACCTCATCATGGCCATTTTTCATGTTTCAAAATTAGAAAACGGATCTAGAAGGGAAAAAACACAACAAAACAAAGAAAAAAATATATAACAACAAGCGGAAGCACAGTGGACAGCAGGAGCGCCACACTGGCCAATGAATAAGGTCTCATTTTAAGTGAGAGGGAATAGTCTATCAAGGCGGTGTGGCACACGCACACACACACACACCCTCTGGAACAAGTGCAATGCAAAGAGAATAAGTTTCTCACATCATAAAACTACAACATACTCCTCTTTCACAGCACTCTGGTTGAACACTTCCCTTTGCTTGTCTCCTCTTCCTCTAGTATCTCTGTGCAGCAGGAGTGTGAAGGCTTTCGTTGTGCCGCTTTAGTTCTTAGTCTTTGGCGGGAGCTTAAAGTCCACTTGACTGAGATATGCTGCAGTATTAAAGAAGATGGCTTCACTGTTTCGTTTGATTTTTTTCCCCTCTCCACATCCAGCTGCCACACAGACTAGCAGAAGTCTCAACATTTTCATGGCAACTGAGAAAGGGAGAAAATGATCCCAGCATGCCAGCCTCTTTCTATTACAGTAAAAAATATGACTAATACAGTGTGCCTGAATACTGAAGACTTCTCTACCAGGAAAAATGGTGCATCTGATAGCAGAAGGAGAGGACACAAGCAGCAGGGGTTCTGCAACAAAGAGGGGTTAGAGATGGCAAACTTGCAAGAGCAACTCTGGCGGTAGTTAAGTGCTCTGAAATGATTCAGATGAACGGGACACAAAAAGGGCACGACGGGACGGCTGAGCGGGAAGAGATGGTACAGATGGGACATCACCGCTGCAATAAAAGCAAGTGATGGTTAAAAAGTGCCAAATGGCGACTTGAGGAGGTTCCCTGGGTTACCATTAAGATGAAGTGAATATGGATGTTGTACAGTAAGCACATATGCTCATGTCTTTGTGTAAGAGAGAGAGAAGAGAAAATGTGTAGAAGATAAAGAGAAATCCCTGGGCTACATGAGAGGGTGACGTGGAGGAAAGGCCTCAGCGGACCTCGATCAGCTCCACCCATCGCATCCCTCTGTTACACCTGATGCTCAGCAGAACTATGTGCTTCTCTTCTGAAGCTCCTGAATAAAGGCTGTGAAAGCAAAGAGAAACACACAGTAAGTACACAAAGTAGCTGATACTGGAGCAAAATTAAAGTTTTTTTTAAAGTGTAATCTAACCTCCAATAATTTCCTCTTTGACTTTTTGTAGTTCTTTCCGCACTTCCTCCAAGATCTCCTGCAGAAAAATAGGACAAACCGTTAGCCATGGCAATACATTTGTGATTTAGGGAAAAAAAAAAGTTTATTTGCAGTAACCAGGTGACATGTGAAATCTCCATATACATACAACATATATTTTTCTGACTTGTGGCAGAACACAATGCATTGGTGTCCACCAGAAAAATTTAGGTTTCTCTAAACCTCTGTCAGGATTAAGACCTTTTCATGCATGAAACCTATAATATTGTTGGCTTTATCAACTGGACTGAATTCTGTCATTTAGGCATGGGTTATTTTTATGGAAATCTGCAAACACAATGACGATCCACATTACCTGCAGTTTGCTTGCAAGATTTAACAGTACAACAGTGACATAATGCATGAGGTCAGACTGTCTTTTCGCATGGCAGCTTTATTTTGATAGATGCTTTGATAACTAAAGAGGCCACTTCCTGTGTGTAGCTATGGGAACAAACATCCCACACATCAGATTAGAAATAACAGGAGCTTGTGAAGTATGATTATATACACCACATCTGTGATAAGATCCGGACTGCTCCTGTCCCAAGCTGGGAATGTAATTATTGTCAGTAGTTAATATTATTGCTGTTGTGCCAGCTGCATAAACGCACACCAACCTGTTTGTGACACACTCAACAACACACTCCTGGAAACAGCTGGAAGCTACAAACTAACTTCATTTCAACAGTCTGAGACTGCCATTGTCAAACTGTTGTCAAAAAGTGACCTCAAGCCAGCGTATTCAGATGGAGCCAGATTCATGCAAAACAAAACGAGTATCAGAAGCTTTAGAGAAATCAGCTTTCTCATTTACATAGCAAAAATTCAGATCCAAACATTCAAGTGTGGCTGTTTTGGCCAAGAACTGATGATCGCTGGGTCGATGAGCATATTTACCTGTTTCATTTTCTCTAAATCTGAGTCATCGGCTCCACTTGCTTCATTATTATTGCTTGCAGCCTTTGCCCTGTAACAAAACATGAAACAGACATGCAAATATTTCATGTTTATCTTTCCACAAAACAGGTGCAACATATTCATCAAATGCATTGCCACAGTATAGAGCAAATGAAGAACCAGTGAATGGAAGAATGCAGAAATGAAATGAAGGTTAACCTATGTAAACTCATTAACCTACCTTTCTGAAGCTCAAGGATGCTGACGAGCTATAAATGAATGCCTGATATTAACTGATCTAGCTAGCACAGGTTTCAGAGTAGTGTATGGCTCTGTTAGGACCTTTTACCACAAAAACTACGTGTATGTTCTTGAACTACAACATAGAGACAAACAAAGCCATCAAAGATGTCAGAGAGGACAGAGCCAACCCCAGCTGAGAGAAGTGACTTGAAAATAAGCATGAATCATAGACCCAGGCTCCCATCTTATTAGTCAGTTTTCAGAGACGGCACACTCAGCTGCTACATCTACGGGTAGCTTGGGTGCACGCCATTCTCCCATCCATTAGATGGTGCTATCAACTGTAAAATATGCTACCCCAGCATGAAGATTTGAGAGGGAAGAATAAAGGAAGGGGTGCTAAAGGTCATGAATTAATGGGGCACATGTATACCTGGGAACTTGGGACAATGAGGAAGTGGAGTCCATGCTCTTGGGGATGGAGTTATTCCTGTTAGTGAGACACACACACACACACACACACACTCTCGCTCTTAAAATGAAAATGGACGACATTCGCATACACGCACAAAAAACTCACGTTTGTGCAAAGACGCAGGGGTGGACACAAAAACGTGCGCACACTGGTGAACAGGGTGAACCGACACATGGGACACCTGGAGGTGACAGATTTACTGCAGGGAAATAACTGCGTCTTGGCTCACCTGATCATAGAAGGTTTCTCCCAAGGTCTTCTGACGGCGTCTGAAAAAGAAAATGTATGAAAACACGAGTTGTTAATCTTCACTCATATCAGTATATCAGAATGAACGTAGGTGGCATGCTACAGACAAAACTGTTCAGTTCTCACCACTTTGACTTGGAGACTCTGACTCATCCTGTGGAGAGGAGGGAAGAAAAAACATGGAGACTTCTCTTAACAGTGAGTCATCCTCAGCCTTGAGTGGTTGGTTACATGTAAAAAACACTCTACATTTGTCTGGTGTTACATAAAGGGAACCGATTATGCTTCTCATTACTTTCTGGCATGTCTATATTGTTATGTTACAACGATACTGGTGTCAAATGATGACATCGTATCTGTAAGTGTGAGTCGAAAACTCAGGCTTCAACCGTTTATTCTACTCTTGGCAATGTTTAATAACCTGCCAACGTGAGCACAGAAACCCCACCCACCTGCTGTTTAAATGTTTTATTTACGAGGGGCAACCAATCAGGACAAAGCTGGCTTACAGGGGAGAGTGTGGATATCAGTAGCTAGTAGTAACGGCTTGGTTTATACCGTATATTGAATGAACTATGGGGCTGGGTCGAGGCTCACTGTAAGATAAATAAGGGTTCTCCAAAAAGTTGATTCTGTTCATCTGGATGTAGCGTTTTGTGGGAGAAACGTTTCGTCACTCATCCAAATGATATCTTCAGTCTCAGCTGACTGCAGGTTTCTCCAATCTTATAAACAGTACATTTGCATAATGACTGAAACCAGCCCACTGAAGGAACAATGGGCTGGGAGGT